TGAGCTACAACAACGTGTCCTCCCTGAAGATGCTCATGGCCAAGGACGACTGGGTGCTGTCCTCGGAGATCAGTCAGGTAGCTGACCCTGCCCACCCATGTTTTCTCTCCCTTCTGAGTGGCCAGAGGAGGCTGGTGGCTGGTGACAGGACCTCTCAGGCCACTTATGGCAGAAGGGGATTTCTTCAAAGCAATTCAGTGACACCATGACACCAACCCAGTTCTAGAAACGAGCCTGTCCCCAGGGCCTGGAGCAGAGAAGCCCCAGCCCTTCCCTCCTGCCTGCATGTCTGCTGCTCTCTACCCAACACCCCTCCCTCCCTCTGCCCCTTCTATAGTGAGTCACCGCGGGGATGAGGGAAGTGGAGTAGCATCTGAGCTCTGCCACGCTTACCTGCACCTTGGACAAATCAATTGCCCACCGGTGATGCAAGGAGTCACAAGTTCACCTGGCTCTGAGGAGCCCCTGCATTGCTGCCTCAGGCACTGCTTAAGATTCCTTCCGGTCGGTCCCTTTGTGCTGACTTTGATCAGGGATCCATTCTGTGGGATGCAGCTGAGGCTGAGAGAGGTTTAAGCCCCAGTTCACAGTCACACAGCGAGTCGGTGGCCACCCTGAGCTTTCAGCCCCTGCCCCCAGCATCCCAGGCAGCACCCTATCACCCAGCACCGTCTGGGGAGGAGGTGCAGGGCTAAGGCTGCCTTTGGTCCATGCAGGTCCGCCTGTACAGCCTGGAGGAAGACAAGTTTTTCTCCTTCCATCTGGAGATGGTGGTGCACGTGGATGCAGCCCAGGCCTTCCTGCTGCTCTCAGACCTGCAGCGCAGGCCAGAGTGGGACAAGCACTACCGGTGAGGGCCTGGGGGATAGCCAGGCTGGGTCCCTTCTCAGGACTGGGGTGGGATATGGTATCTCCTGTGGAGCTGTCCCACCTCATGCTCGCCCCTGCTGGCCTTCAGTGGGAACTAGGAGTGTGGTGGGAGACTGTAGTCATGTTAGGTGGGGTCAGGGTCATAGGCATTTTTAGCTCTCAGGGAAGAGATGGAGCCTGGGATTGGACTTGGGGGCCTGGATTTAAGTCCTGTTTCTGCCTCAACTAGCTGTGTGACTTGGGGCCCCACTTCCTTTCTGGGCCTCAGTGTCCTCCCTCTTAATATGGGTACTTGGAATGGGAATCATGGATTTATCCTCAGAGGATATTCAAACCACATTCTGTGGAGTTCTGCTCCAAGGGGGCCCAGGGATTGCTTGGAATGAGGTTGGGAGGCTGAGGGGTGGGTGGGGCTCCCTCCCATGTTTAGACCATCTAAGTAAAGTGGCCAACTTGCAGAATTTAGTTTGTCAATTTTTTTAAGTATGTATGTGAAGGTTACTTTTATTTATTGACACCAGGGATTGAACTCAGGGGCACTCAACCACTGAGCCACATTCCCAGCCCTTCTTATATTTTATTTGGAGACAGGGTCTCACTGAGTTGCTTAAGGCTTCGCCAAGTTGCTGAGGCTGGCTTTGAACTCACGATCCTCCTGCCTCAGCCCCCCAAGCTGTTGGGATTATAGGTGTGCACCACCACGCCTGGCCAATGTTACTTTTAAATATAGTGATTGACTACGAATGTTATTCCTTTGAATACATTTGTTCCCCAAATTTACTGATTCTTCACGTATCTTTTTTTTTTTTTTTTTCCCCTCAAGCAAGCAGGAATCTTTTTGAAAAAGGAAGGTGAGAAAAAGACTTAGAACTCCTAGTGCAGGGCTCCTGGGAGAGGCAAGAGTGCCTGATTTTTTATATATCTTCTTGAATTTAGTCAGGGAAGATAAATATTTTTTAGGAAAATAGCCAAAATGTCAGTGCTCAATATAGGAAAGTTAATGTTTAAACTTGTGTTTTCTTTAAGACCCTCAAAGCATTTTCTGTTATGCAAACACCCTAGGTCTGGGGGTCTTTGGTCACCTCTCCAATGGCTTACATGAGGAGCCTCCATAAGGAGGGTCTGTGTGCCTGGCAATACAGGGAACTGTCATTTGGCAAGTTGATTTTTTGTTTTCTTGATGCTGGGGGCCAAACCCAGGGCCTCATGCATGCTAGGCAAATGCTTTACCACTGAGCCGTACCTATCACAGTTGACTTAAGACAACTTGGCTTTCCCCTTCCTACCTGGTCTGCCTGCCCCAGTCTGGCCTGCTTGGCAGCATCGAACCTGCTGAAGATCTCTTCACAGGAAGGGTAGTGCTACTCTAAAGAGTCCAGGCCTGCTGGGTGCACTCTGGGAGACTGAGAGCTGGTGGGTGGTGGATGTGGGGTGTTGGAGGAGGTGGGCTAGTGATCATATGGAATCTTGATACTTGATGGCATCTAGGGTCAGGGTGGAGAGTCCCCTGAGGGTAAAGAGAATCTCCAGCCTGTTTCCCTTTCCCTGCCCACAGCTACCCCACTCCCAAGATAGCCTCCCAGTGTAGGGGGAGAGCCACGGAGGTGGCTGTACATATCTGTGTGGTTCTCCTGTGTGTTGACGTGAGCCTGCTTGCATGTACCTGGATATGTGTGTGCCGTATGCCTGGGGTTACAGTTCTCTGCCCGGAGGCTGAACATCCCAGCCCTGTGTCCCTCTTAGCTCTACAGTTAGGGACAGGTGATTGTCCTGTCTCAGCCCCTCGTCTATAACGTGGGGATTCTGAGGGTGCCCACTGCACAAGGCTATGCCAGAGACATAATATGCATGTATCCCTGAAAATAGTACCTGGCACACAGTGGGTACACACTAAAACAAACCACAACTACCAAGCCTTCATACCTCTGTGGGACATACAGATGTACACAGATGCGTGTTCACAGTTACCTACCAGTGTCTGTCACGTGTGAATGGGTTTATACATGGCTTTGTCCCTGTGTATTTGCTTGTGTGTCTGTGTGAATGTGCCTGTGCCTGTGCCTGCATGTGTCCTTGGCTAGGCCTTCAGGCCCTCTGTCTGGGTCCTGCTGACTCGTGCAGGGAAAGAAGTGTCCATCACAGATGGTGCTGAGGGTGGCTGTGGCATGTGGGGCCCAGCAGACCCACTGTCCCATGGGAGCGGGTGTGGCTCCCTGGGCCCTGAGCTCTGGCCTCCCCCAGGAGCGTGGAACTAGTGCAACAGGTGGATGAGGACGATGCCATCTACCACATCATCAGCCCTGCCCTTGGTCGTGATGCCAAGCCCCAGGACTTTGTGATCCTGGCCTCACGGCGCAAGCCTTGTGACAATGGGTAGGTGCCTACCTTCTGGGGATGCAATAAGGTGGCCAGCTGGGGAGGCCTCGTCTCCCTCCCTGAGGAGGGAGCATCATCCTGGAGTTAGACTCTGCTTCCCATTGGTTGTGGGATCCAGGCCCCACTAGATTTTTCTGGGCTGCCGTGGCTTTACTTGAGTAAGGTGGGAAATGAAGGCCCACACTTCATCTTGAGTCACCTCTGCCCTAAAGCAGGGCCCTCTGTAGCCTGGGTGGCCAAAGTTGCCACACTCAAGGCTCTGGACAAGGCACTTCTCACACGCACTCCTTGGACTCTCCTCTTTGTGACTGGAGGGCCACGAGCCTGTCACTCTGCCACTGGTGGGGAGGCCAAGATAGTGGTGTCCCTTCTGCTCTAGACAGGGGCACGGGGATGAATAAAATCACATGCGGCTCTCCCCCTGCCTGTCCACAGTGGAGGGACTTTTCCAGGGGACCCCCAGTGGGTGGTGTAGCTGCCTCTTCTCCCCAGCCTGGCCTGGAGCCAAAGCTCAGGCTTGGGGGATGGGGTGGACCCTCCCTTCTGTGGCTGATCTCTGCCCCCTCTGCTTCCCTCCACTCCAGGGACCCCTATGTCATTGCGATGAGGTCAGTCACGCTGCCCACGTACTGCGAGACGCCAGAGTACCGTCGTGCGGAGACCCTCTGCTCAGGCTTCTGCCTCTGGCGCGAGGGGGACCAGTTGACCAAGGTGAGGCCTGGCGTCCAACAGCATTGTTTTGAACTATACTGAGCTCAGTGCTGCTGGGCTAGGACAAGTCCAGACCTGGATCCCCTTCCAGTATCCTCCCTCTCCCAACCTGGGGGAGCCTCAGAGTATCGGAGGCTGGAAAGGAGGCTGCATTAAGATCTGATGGGTGTGACTAAGTGAGAGCCTGGAGAAAGCTCAGGATGCAGACAGCAGAAGGCTGGGTTCTGATCTAAAAATTCATCTCATTATTTATTTACCTGTGTACTTCTTGTCTGGGAAGGCTTTATATGGCTCTGAGGCCCATAAAACTCAGCAAGGCAGTCCGCGTTAATTGAAAAGGTGGGGAGGAGGCTGAGAAAGGGGGGACTGCAGCTCCCACACCAGCTTCCAGCTCCTGTGGGGCCCTGCAGCTCCAGGCTGGTGAGCCTCAGCCAGTGTTGGCTACATCAACACACTTGAGCCAACAGACTCAGGGGGGGCCATGCTCCAGGCCGAAGTCCAACGTTTTCTCTGCAGCCCCAGAGCACCTTTATTTAAGGGGGATTCTGTAGGAGGTTCTGGAGACCTAGTCCCTTCCCTGAATGCCACATAACTGAAGGAAAAGATGCCCAATGACAGTACAGTGGGTGGTGACTGGCAGCCAGGGTTGTCAGCACCCTGAGGAGGGTCAGGGGAAACCGGCTGGAGAAGGTCATGCCTATCAACTGACCTTCAAGACTCCCTGGAGCTGGGCTGTATCTGCTGCTCTCCCAGAAGGCGACTCTCCCCACCCCCGCCTCATGCCCAGGGGTAGGCCATGCCCCTCACCTTCTCTGCTTCCCTGAGCATGGCTTCCCACCCTACAGGTGTCCTACTACAACCAGGTCAGCCCAGACATCCTCAACTACGTGACCACCAACGTGTCCGGCCTTTCCTCGGAGTTCTACACCACCTTCAAGGCTTGTGAACGCTTCCTCCTGGACAATCGCAATGACCTGGCCCCCAGCCTCCAGACCCTCTAGGCTCCCCTCCAGCTGCCTCGAGGACTCTCGTGCCGTGTGTGGAGGAAGGCAGAAGCATTTATTCCTCCTGCCTCCTGCAGGGAAGCCTGGACCTAGGAGTTGGCTGGCCCGGGACCACTGGGCGGTCAGTTTCTGCCAACATCTGCCCACAAGTCCTTGTGGTACCCCTGGGGGGGCCTGCAGTAGACTCTGGTCCTGTCCACCCCGCTGGCTGCCAGCAGCCCTGCCCACACAGCTGAACAGCTGCTCCCAGTGGGGCTGTGCTGCACTGTGACGGTGGCCCGGGGGGAGGCTGCCAGCAGCCTGGCCATGGCTCCCACCATGCTCTGGTCCAGTGGCCTGGCTTGCAGCTGGAAGGACACAGGTTGCCTGAGTCCCTGGCAGAGCTCCAGCATATCCGTGAGCAGCTGCTCCCCATATCCACTGCCTAGCACCTCCTCGGGCCAGCTGGGTGCCACAGTCACATGGGGGAATACCTCAGCCACAGCCTTCAGGAACTCTTTGCCAGCTGTGTGGCCAGGGACCACAAAACTTCCATATGAGATTGTGGCCCCGACCCACACAGGCCGAGGCAGGTGGCCAAGGGCTGAGTGGTGTGCCAGGATGGCCAGGGACGGACGGAGGGCTGCGGGCTCTGCTATGTGCACGTGGAGGCCCCAGCGCCCAGGGCGCGTGGCCAGCTGCAGCAGGCATGACTCCAGTGTCAGGGCAGCGCTGCCTGGGGCACGGACGATGGGCACAGGGTCCCCGGCTGCAGTTCCCTGGAGACCAACGTCCAGCAGGATCACTCCTTCTCTGTCTGGAAGAGGCAACCGTGGCTGGTCTCAGGTTCCCACGAGAGCCAGAATCTCTTATTAAAAGGGCACAGGGTGGGGTGGGGGTGTGGCTATGGGGACGGCCTGACCTCTCTGGAATCCTCTAACCTTGTCCTGGGTTCCAATTGTGGTGTCTGGTACTTGTCAAGACTAAAGTGATAAGCTGCCAGCTCAGCTCTTGGCCTTTCCTTGTGGGGAAGACTTGGGGCAGATGCCAGCTCCTCCTATAGCATCATGTGACTGAGGACTCAAGAGTGCTGGTCTGAAGGCCAGGAAGCTGGTGCTCTTGAGACTACCGCACTCCCCCGGCCCCGGCCCCACCCTACTTTGTATCCAATGTGTGGCTTACAAGGGCCCATGTTGCCATGGTAACCAAGGTCCAAGGTCCACTGGTAAAGGACACCTTTGCAGGTCAGCTAGGGATACCAGGGCTGTAGACAGACTTACCAGGGAGCGTGATCATTGCTGTTCTGCCATTGCCTTGCACTTCTGGAAGCAGCCACTCCACGCTCAGACCATCACCCGCAGGTGGCTGGAGAACAGGGATCAGGCTGCTGCCGGTGTAGTACATTCGCTTCCTTGTGGTATTTACTGAGGGGTCCAAAATTGTTGAGATGAAGTGGCAACCATTCAGAGTGCCTTCTATATGCCCTGATTCTACCATATTCCAAGACTCTTGCTGTCATCTCCCTGCTTTGATAGACTAGGAGAAGTGATTTGCCCAAGGTCCTTCAGTAGTTACTGGATTGGAACTGGATAGAACCAGAGCTAGCTGTACCCACAGCTAGTATCCTCCCCCTCACTTAGGTAGCTCCCACAGTGGGAATGTGGACTCTGATGGGACCCCCTGTGACCACTCAGCTGCAGGGTCAAGGGAGCAAATATGCACAGTAGGATCTGGATTATTAAGTCTCACCCACAGAGAGACTGTGCTACATGGAAAGTCTATAGGGTTGGAATTTGCTGAGTTCTGATAAGAGCTCTGCCTTGTTAAGATCTGATGACATATAAACTCTGTAACTGTTTACACCTGTTTCCCTACCTATAAATTGGAACTCTGGCTTCATGAATATGACACTTAAATAGAATGCCATCCCGGGGCTAAGTTGCAATAGCAGAATCTCTCCTCCTATTCCACCCAGGATCTTCACCTTCTGATGTCACTTCCCCCCAGCTCTGCTCCAGGGGCTGCCCTATGCAGAATCCAACCCACACCACCCTCCCCAGGCTCCTTCCTTACAGGCCTGCTGCTTGAACTGCGACAGGACAGGCTCAAAGAGGTCGTAGTAGACTTGGTGGGCGGCGGTGTTGTCCCGGATGTAGAGGAGATCATCCACTGACACGGGGTCGGAGGCGCCCTGCCACAGTGTCAGGCTGTACCTGGGCCCAGACAGCTGGCTCAGTGCCAGTCTGGGCCCAGCAAGACCCTCGGCTCCCCTCCTGTGCTCAGAACCAGAGGCTGGCTGGGCCCAAGGGTGGGGCACCAGTCCTCCAGTGTCACACAGCCCCTCCTCCCTGAGCACTGCCCATTCCTGGGGGTAACTGCAAGCCAAAGTCTGGGAGGACGGAGGAGCTGTCCACTCAGAGTGCCTATTTTCGAGCTCTGCCTTAGGAAAGGGACAAGGACAGAGGGCAAGGTGTGGGGAGGAGGTCAAGTGTGAAGAGGGGAAGTGGGCCACCTTGGGACTTTTGTGGGGAAGGGCTGAGAAAGGGAGGGTTGGGTGGCTGAGAGCTGGCTGCAGGGTAGGGTGAGGGGTCCCTTGAGCCCTATAGGGCTATTCTGGGCAGAGGTTGTAGGTGTAATCTCTGCAGCCCCAGGGGCATAGGTGGCCTATGGGAGGAAGCTGCCGGGAGATGGATTCTGTCTCATCTCAGAATAAACACTTGTTAACAGGCAGACAGTTACCCACCAATGGAAACCTGCCCTTCCCACCCCCAGGAAGTAGTGAGCAGCCTGTCACCAGAAGTATACAAATAAAAGACAGGGACATTGTAGGTGGGAGCACCAGTAGGGTTGGATAAGATGATCTTTAGGACTTTCTAGCCTAAAGGTTAGGATCAGGGATCTTCCCCAGGCATCTAATCCCGGAGGTGGGTTTGGAACCAGCAGGGGCGTGAGAGCAGCTGTGGGATTTCACCTTTCTGACTGGCCCAGCAGCCAGCTGAAGTGGGGCCAGGCAGCCCGCACCATGACAGCCCGCACAGGGAAGGTGACCCTCTGTGGCAGCGCTCCCACCAGCTCCTGCATCTTCTCCACCATGGCTTGGGTGTAGGTGCTGTTTGGGAACAGGGGCGTATAGAGGGTGGTCCAGCCTGGAGACAAGGTGGCTTGAGGATACTTCTCCTGGACCAGTGCCAGGAACCTGCAGAGAAGGGAGACACTGGTCTTTCAGAGCCACGCTGGTCCTGTCCTCTTGTGTCCTCATCACAGCGAGAGGAAGTGGCGGGGCCTGCTGAATCTGTGACAGGAGGGCGGCTGCAGAGCCTGAGGAACAGAGTGACTTGTTCACAGACCCACAAGTGGGGTGCGCACTCTGGAGCCAGGGAAGTCTGGGTTCAGGCCCTGACTCTGACCTGGGGCTGGTCAACCTCTGATTCTCAAATAACAGCATCACTTCCAAAAAGGAAGGGCTTCTCCGTCTCTGTACTCGGGATTGAACCCAGGGGCTCTCGACCAATCATCTATACCCCCTTTCCTTTTTAATTTAATTCTGTATTTTCAGATAGGGTCTCACTAAGTTGCTAAGGCTGGCCTCGAGTTTGTGATACTCCTGGCTTAGCTTCCTGAGCTTCTAGGATTATAGGCATATGTCACCACACCTGGCAAATTTCTTATTTATTTTCAAATTTTGCTTTTAAGCCAGGTGTGGTGGCACACGCCTGTCATCTCAGAGACTGGGAGGTTGAGGCAGGAAGATCGTGAGTTCAAAGCCGGCCTCAGGGGGCTGGGGTTGTGGCCTAGTACGTGCAGAACGCTGGGTTCGATCCTCAGCGCCACATAAAAATAAAATGAAAGTACTGTGTTGAACTACAACTAAAAAACAAAATATTAAAAAAAAAAAAACCCAGCCTCAGAAACTTAGTGAGGCCTCAGGAATTTAATTATATCCTGTCTCCAAATAAAATATAAAAAGGACTGGAATGTGGCTCAGTGGTGAAGTGTCCCTGGGTTCAATCCCTGGTACAAAAAAAAAAATGCTCTTATGTAAATTTTAACATGCAAACAGTCCCTCCCCCGCCCACATCATGAGTAAAATCAACACTCCAAGAAGATTGACCATATTTCTCTGGGTCCATTGACTACATTTTCAAACTGCTACTTTCCAAGTGTCCCAGTTGGAGACATACTCTAAACGTTGGATGGATGGTTAGATGCACAGATGGGGTGAGAGAGAAATGGAAGGTAAAGAGCATGGAGCTT